AATTGTGATATTTCTACGTTGTGTTTACTTCAGATACATAATCTAAATAAAAGGGGGGTTGTCAACCGACAATCGCTCTATTTAGTTGCTTTTCACTCTTTAGATAAAAATTCTTTTATTTATTATGTCGAAAAATTATGCGGTTGTCAGTTGACAACCACCCTTTAATTTACACTGCAGTTGCGTGATGTCCACCACTTTCTGTACATAATCTAAGAGTACTAAAACAGCCACTGACTTCCAACTACCAAGGGAAAGCAAGCCCAAGCGCAGGAGAAGCGTGCGCGCGCGCGGGTACGTGACATATAATATCGTAGTAGAGCTGGCAGGCAAGGCATGATCAGGGGTTCAGGCCCTGCCTGTAAACGCTCTGATTGGCTCAAACCCTGGCAACAATCACGTGACATGTCTGAAAGTACAAGTAGTTGCGATTTATGCTGAAGTTCAAACTGACGGAACACGTGCCGCACTACACCATGAACCGTGTGGAAACAAAAATAAGTAGAGGAGACACGGGATAACAGACATGAACTCAGGGTCAAACTGATAACTGTGAAACGTGAATGCATGCAGTATATGGAGACAAAACAAAGTCGCAGAATTCAGTACGTAACAAGTACTACACACTAACCTCGTACATGAGAATGTCGCGACACCATTTGAATTAGCTCTTACACCCCACTTATGTTTCAGTCAGTAAGAGTACACATGCGTACTTACGTTGACTCTATTTTATCTGACTTGTCCAACACCATCGTTGTGAGCCTTCGGCACTTGGGAATACACAGGACAGATAAGATAGCAGCAAGAGCATCTCCCCGCTCTGTGAACACAGCTCAGACGCCATGCTTCATGATTGTGTGCCCATGGAATACAAGGACACAATAGGCTTGGTGCAGCTAACAAAATGGATGAACGGTCGACGGCCTGAGTGTTCTCCTTCCTCGATCAACACTGACAGTCACCACATACCATGCTTGATGTTTCAAGCACCATCGGCGCAGGCCACGTTTTTCGGCACCGACGATTTGTTCGTCCACCAAAAGTCGAAACAAATGTTTCTCACTTGAACACTCCGTAGAGCTGCCGCTGTTGTGCCGAGGCCCATTGGCGCATGGTGTGTATACTCCAAATCTACATGTATGATGATGGGTCACTGCTGACGTTTCTGCTCTTGGACAGTGCAACGCCGCATGAAGATATGTTGTGGCTCCACAATCGCTGAGAACGCTAGTGTGCGTCCATGGAATACTAAAACACAATAGGCGCGGCGCAGCTAACGCCCACTTGGATGAATCGGAGTGGTGGCGAGTGCATTCTCCTTCCTCGGTGAACACTGCTGGTCACCCTGTTTGATGATCCACCAAACACCATCGGTGCAGGCCGCGTTTTTTCGGAACCAGCCATTTATTCGTCCACCAACAATAGAAATTAATGTTTCTCACTTGAACACTCTGCATGATCTGTAGAGCTGTCGCTGTCGTGACAAGGCCGTGTATACTCCAAGTCTACATGTAGGATGAAGAGTAACAGGTCCTGCTGATAATTAAGTTTGCGCTCGTGGACAATACAACGCTGTGTGAAGTAAATTGTGGCTCCACAATCGCTCTGAATGCTAATGTGCGTCCATGGAATACTAAAACACAATAGGCGCGGTGCAACTAACGCCCAACGTGGATGAAACGGACAACAGCAGCGACTAGTCTAGAGCCACGGTTCTCCTTCCTCGGTGAACACTGCTACAAGACATTATGCTTGATGATTCACCAAACACCATCGTTGGGGGCCAAGTTTTCCGGCGCCAGCGAGTTGTTCGTCCACCAACTAACTTTGATGAGTCTTTCTTCAACACTTCGTAGAGCAGCCGCGCAAGGCCTTTCCTTCGCGGGTAATCATGCAGTTTAGGGTCCCAAATTATTTCGCACTTTCCCAGTGTTCAGTGTACTGTCACACGCGTTTTCAGTGTACTTTCACATCATGAACTTTATTTTCATGAAAACCGAGGACAGATCAGACTGGGTACTGCTGGTGAACACTGCGGAGCAGGGAGCCGAACGTGTTGTCTTCCGCGCGAACTCTCTGTCTCCTCACGAACTCGCAGAGGTACGTCGGGAACAACTCTCGCGAGGTGCCGAAGTTGCGCTTCAGCTGGCGCTTGGCCCGCATCCACATGTTTTCCACGTTGTTGGTGTGGATCGTTCGGTCGTCCGGATCAACAAAGTTGTCGTCGTGGACGACGACATCGTGCTGGTATACGCCACCGTCGATGTTCCTGATCTGCGCGTATGCGGCCCAGCCATCAGAGATGATGCGTGAGCCAGGCAGAATCCACAGGAAACAAAACTTTGACAAAGGAAACAAAACTTTCACACGAGAAAAGAAGAAGCATAGTGAAAGTACACTGAAAACGCGTGTGACAGTACACTGAACACTGGGAAAGTGCGAAATAATTTGGGACCCTAAACTGCATGATTACCCCTTCGCGTTAGGGTAGCGATCCTTCCTACATGTAGATGATATCGCTATTCATTGTTACTTTTTACTACAATGAGTAGTGTTTTTCCGAAAATAAAGTCAGCTGCCTGGGCATTGATTAGGCATTAGTACTGCCTAGCCCTAGGCCTAGCGCCTGGACTTGGAAAAAAAATTGATTTTGCAAGTCTTCAATCATGTTTCCATGTACGCGCTATCCAGCCATGTGGCGTGAACAGATTGCTTGACGTGAAAGGTAGCGCGAGTACGAGTCGTACGCGCTCGCGGTCCGCGGACGTGTCAGTGACACGTGAAACGAAAAGATTTTTTTGGCGGGTAGTCGGCAAAAATTAAGTGACGGTCCCTTTAGTCCTTCGCCAGTGCAATGCATCTACGACACACACTGGCGGAGTCACCACGGCAGCCAGGTAAGGCACAGCGTAACGTACTTACTGATCGAGTCACTGCAACGGCACAACACAGTGCAATGCAACTACTACTACACATACTGGTGGAGTCACGACGGCAGCTAGGTAAGGCACAGCGTAACGTACTTACTGATCGAGTCACTGCAACTGCACAACACAGTGCAACGCAACTACTACACACACTGGTGGAGTCACCACGGCAGCCAGGTAAGGCACAGCGTAACACACTTACTGATCGAGTCACTGCAACTGCACAACACAGTGCAACGCAACTACTACACACACTGGTGGAATCACCATGGCAGCCAGGTAAGGCACAGCGTAACACACTTACTGATCGAGTCACTGCAACTGCACAACACAGTGCAACGCAACTACTACACACACTGGTGGAATCACCATGGCAGCCAGGTAAGGCACAGCGTAACGTACTTACTGATCGAGTCACTGCAACTGCACAACACAGTGCAACGCAACTACTACACACACTGGTGGAGTCACCACGGCAGCCAGGTAAGGCACAGCGTAACACACTTACTGATCGAGTCACTGCAACTGCACAACACAGTGCAACGCAACTACTACACACACTGGTGGAATCACCATGGCAGCCAGGTAAGGCACAGCGTAACACACTTACTGATCGAGTCACTGCAACTGCACAACACAGTGCAACGCAACTACTACACACACTGGTGGAGTCACCACGGCAGCCAGGTAAGGCACAGCGTAACGTACTTACTGATCGAGTCACTGCAACTGCACAACACAGTGCAACGCAACTACTACACACACTGGTGGAATCACCATGGCAGCCAGGTAAGGCACAGCGTAACGTACTTACTGATCGAGTCACTGCAACGGCACAACACAGTGCAATGCAACTACTACACACACTGGTGGAATCACCACGGCAGCCAGGTAAGGCACAGCGTAACGTACTTACTGATCGAGTCACTGCAACGGCACAACACAGTGCAATGCAACTACTACAATGCATGTACTACACGTACATACTGGTGGCATCACGACGACGGCAGCACTGCACCATGTAGCACCGGTACACACTAACCTGTGTACCGGTCGGTGGAGCCACGACGGCAGCAGGGACGCAGTGTAAGCTACATGTATGCTTAGTAGTGGAGGTGTGACGGCAGCAGAAAGGCACACTCTAACACATGTACTGGTGGAGTCTTGACGGCAATATGGCAAAGTGCAAGGTACTTTCACTGGTGGAGTAGTGACAGCAGTAGGGCACAGTACAAGGTACATTTATTGGTGGAGCCACAACAGCAGTATGGCACACAGCTGATAGTCCAGGTGATGGTACTGATGCGTACTTATCCGTCAGCACAGCTCAGCTCCCGCCGGTAGAATGCCAATGACGTCATTGCTCAGGGGCAGTGAAGGGCAATGCTGCCATGCTGTTGCTAGCCAACACAGCTTCCTGCCACTGCTGGTTGAGCTGAAGGTAGTCATGAGTCATGACATCATTGCTGACGGGCAATAAAGTCATTGTTCAAGGGCAATTACGTCATTGTTCATGGGTAATGCCATCTGACGGCTGAGCTGGAGGCTGTCAAGAAGGACAATACCATCCGCTGGCTGAGTTGAATGTTGTTATGACATCACAGGCAGTGGGCAGAGGAGTGATGATACTCGCAAACGCAGCTTCCTGTCACCGCCGCAGACAGTCCGAAAGACACTGGGCCGTAGAGCCACACCAGTCGCATGTACATGCACACGTACAGTCTCCAGCTGATCACACTAATGATATGCAGGTATACGTACAGTCTCCAGCTGATCACACTAATGATATGCAGGTATACGTACAGTCTCCAGCTGATCACACTAATGATATGCAGGTATACGTACAGTCTCCAGCTGATCACACTAATGATATGCAGGTATACGTACAGTCTCCAGCTGATCACACTAATGATATGCAGGTATACGTACAGTCTCCAGCTGATCACACAACCGATATGCAGGTATACGATGAGGCTGGCCAGCAGTGCACATGCCCCGGTACTAACAGCAGTGTGCAACACTAACAGCAGTGTGCATCTTGTTGACGAAGCCATCGTAACACAACACTCAACGACGCAGAGATAGTCCTTATCACACCACACTGTGCCGTGAAGTCAAGCGAACACCGAGCAAACATCAACTGAACCCAACAGCTAGCAGCAGCAGCGCTCCAGTCCGGTAGCAATAATACTCAACCTGGAGGGCAACACCATGACATAGGTCACACGCACGCACAGTACGCACGCACACACACACACACACACACACACACACACACACACACACGCACACACAGTACACACACACGCACACATACACACACACACACACACACACAGTACATACGCACACGCGCGCAACTGTTGAACATCCAATACCACATATTGTCATGTGCGTGGGGCGGGGGAGATGGGTACGCAGTAAGAAATACATACATCAGCAGTACGCTGCATTACGCATCGCTCGCTACCTTTCGTAGTTAGAGCACTCTGGCGCTAGAGCAACGACCGATCTTAATGTCTGTGGTGCCTCCTTTGCACCATAGCCGGTAGCTCGGCTTACTTAAAGCCCGTAGCTGTACTAATGAGGCCTAACTGGTCCTAACAGCTTGCTGTCTACACCTAATATAGTGTTGAAACGATCTCACCGGGTACTCGTTAGCTCGCTCGCCAGAAACTCGGCTCGTTTGTGCGGCCAGCTCGTTTGCACTAACGAACACCGTACACCGTACTCCGTACACATGGCAGTACATGTCGACCGGGGAGTCGTAAAATACTTTACGACTCCCTGGTCGATCGAGAGTCCAGTCCCGCGCAAAGTGAAAATCGCTCGCAGTTACAGTGACTGTATGCCTGCATGACACTTGAGTTGTTTCAGTTGTCGTTGCAGCTTTGGTGGACTCTACTGATGTCTTGTTCCGCATCTGCTGACCTGTTGCAGGATATACTTCAGTCACCTCTCCATTCGAGTGAAAGTTACGCTCAGTCGTTTGGAAGTTTTCTCCCGCGATGCAGCGAAGACCAGGGCTACTTGCAATCTTTGCAAAACGGTCTGTTCTTACAAAGGCTACAGTAAGATCGGGCGCCGAAGAACACCTCGCCGAAGAACACCCAGGCTGGAAAACCGGCAAAATTTAAGAACAGTCCAGGCTAGAATTATCAGATTTAAGAACACTTTTAAAATTTGGAATTTCCACATGAGTGCAGTATTTAACTGATCGGCTTTGAGCTCGCCACAACACCTGTACATAATAATAATGTATGGGAGGTGAGTACATGTCATGTACACGTGTAAACAGTAACTGCTACATGTACAGTCATTCCCATTTACGACACCCACTAGTTTAGAAGTACTACATTGCACTACATGTACATGACAAACGTCATGACGTCACTCGACTCGCCGCGCGCGTGTGAATAAGAACGGTCTGGCTAGAATCAAAAATTTAAGAACTTTCCTAGGCTGCGCTCGAGCCCCTGCGTTCTTCGGCGCCCGATCTTACTGTACTCAACGACGGCGCTGAAAAGACATCTCGACACCAAACAGCAGTCCGAAGTGAAGCAGCAGCAACCCCAAATACATGCCGGCGGTGATAATTATTTTGAACCAGCTGAAAAAATCAAACTTGGAAAAAACTATATTCAAAAAATCATATTTGCCACATCAATGAAACTCGTTAGCTCGCTCGATAGCTTGCTCGTTAGTGGAACTGATCGCTCGTTTGTTATATACGCTCCTTTCAACACTAGCATTAGGTATAGCAGTGCAGGGGTGTCGGACACGGTACGGTCACTACGGTATTGACCGTACGTACCACTATTTGCCCCAAGTACCCTGTGAATCAATAAAATGCACTGATTTGGGCTCTAATTTCCCAAAAACTTCGCCTCAGTCACCCCTCCCACACGAGTGAATTGTACTTCAGATGGCTGACTGTACCACACTAAATTACCCTCCGACATTGCCCCTGCAGTGGTACATGTAGATCTAGAGTCACAGGTTACAGGGCAGTGGGCAGTGGGCAGTGGGCCTTGAACATAGCCATTGTATAGGGCACTGGGTACTGGGCACTGGGGGAGGCCACTGTACACTGTACTACATACGTACAACTCGATGCAATGCTCAGTTTCCAGGCTGCAGATTGCACCTGGCACCACGGTGAGTTTGTCATAGAAGCAGTGACCGCAGCTCCCACAGTCAACGATGACCGCAGCTCCCACAGTCAACGATGACCGCAGCTCCCACAGTCAACGATGACCGTAGCTCCCACAGTCAACAGCTCACGGCTCCACTACCGCTCTCGTCCAGCGTGCAAACACACACACACACACACACACACACACACACACACCACCACACACACACCACACACACACACACACACGCGCAGGCATGCATGCACACCCATACAGGTATATGCATACAAGTCCGCGCAAACAAGAACCCTCTGAAGTCCCGTCAAGAAACACCAGACCACTAACCTGTGAAGCTCATCAAAACCAAGAGCCGCACATCTCAGACCTTAGTCTAAGAGGGCGCGAGCAGATACATTCCGTTGCCGGAATCCTCAACCTCGCCAATCCCGGAGCCATTCTTGACCGCTTTACCCGCGCAGCGTTCTGTGTAGCTTCCGGTTGCCTTCCCTGTGGCCTCATAACGCCACTGCAGTAGATCAACCACCTCCTAAGCACATAAACACACACACACACACACACATGCACACACACGCACACACACGCACACACACACACACACACACATACACACACACACACACACACACACACACACACACACACACACACAAGCAAGTACCTAATCATGATACAGATGTAGGCACACATACATCCGGGTTCTCTGTTTGCGCGCCCCCTGTGAAAAAGTGCCGCCCATACCCATTTTCCGATTTTTGTGGGTTTTTTTTCATGCCATTCAACGAAAATGCAGTCGATAGTCAGTACTAGAGGGTTCATAAAGGCACATTTGTCTGGGGTGAAGTCAGGTGTTTGCCCCGTACGTTGCATTCCGCATTGCAAGACAGTTAGTTTGAAAATGGAATAATGGGTTACAGGGTAACTGTTTTCCCTGCCCTCTGTAAATCGGTAATCAACAATTTTCTTCCGGATGGCGAGGGATCCGGATAAAAGAGGACCGGATAAGCGAGGTCTGACTGTAGTGGAAATCGAAACAGGCATAATGCCTAATAACATTGGACCCACTGGTATGTATACGCTGCAGTGAGAGTACAGCTATTAGAACTGCTATTCTATGGAACTGTTTACCCCCCCCCAGTCTAACATCGGAAGCCTCGCTCTATAAGTTCAAAGCTGCCCTCAGGAAATTTACAGCTGACCATGCTTAGGCAATCAACGGAATTCCGCCACCTTGCAGTTGATTTTCCCTATTTCTCTCCTCATCAATCCCTACTTGTCTTTGTACATACATCTACATCTACTGTTCTTTCAATCAAATGAACCCCTCGATAGGCACATTACCTTTGGGTCATTTCATAATAATAATAATTACCGTAAAGCCTTGTATAAAAGCCGCACTTGAATAGAAGCCGCCCTCGAATAGAAGCCGCCCTCGAATAGAAGCCGCAATTTCGGGCCCATCAAATCACACATAAGCCCGGTTTTAGTGTTGACATACATAGAAATACCTGTCTTGTATAGAAGCCTGTCTCATATAGAAGCCTGCAAAGTTTCACCAAGAAAGTCATAGAAGCCGCGGCTTTCATACAGGACTTTACGGTATATCTA